GTCTCCTCTAAATCTCTCTCTGTCTCTCTCTCTTCTCTCTCTTTTTTCTATTTCTTTTTTTTTTTCTTCCTCTCAAGTATATACATACCTCTGTCTCTCGAAAAATTCCCCTCACTGTCTATCAATAATATCCATCTCTTTCTCTGTCCCTTCCCTTCGCTTCTCCCCACTCTTTTATCCCTCGTTTCTTTTTCTCTCTCTCATTTTTTCCCTACTCACTCCCCCTTTTTCTTCCTCTCCTTGTGTCTTTCTCCCCCTTTCTATCCCTGACTCTCTCTCGCTTCCCCTTGTCTTTCTCCTCTTTTAACCCTCCCTCCCTCTCCCCCCCTTCTCCATCTTCTTCTTCTTTTTTTCCTTCCTTCACCTTCTTTTTTCTCTCCTTCACCTCTTTTTTTCTCTCCTTCCCTTCCTATCTCCCACTTTCTCGCTGATATTGAACATTATCCGCAAAAGAGACCGTTGGAGAGCCTTATAAACATCTTAATAGCGACCGGAGCGAAAGACAAAAACAACAACAACAGTAATAAGGAAACACTAATAAAAGCAGAAACAAAAGCAGAGGAAAAGACAGATAAAAGATAAACATGGTAATAATTTATCAGGTTGATATTGATAAGAGATAATAGTAATGATAATTAATAAATGAACGAGCGTAGCAAGGATCGGAAGTGAAATTTATAGATAAATAAAAAAAAAAGATGAGCATATAAATAAACCGTAAATACACAACAGATATACAAATAGATATATAATCCACCGATAAAAAAGGAATCCAGCAACCCTGTCATAAATCAAACCCCTCCCCCCCCCTTTAAACCCCCCAGAGCTCACATAAAGACAATATCTTTCATGGGGGAAATATTGGCTTTGGGTCACATCTGTCACCGAAATGGCCGCAGGATGAAGCCAAGGCCAGAGCCAAAGCAAGCGATGCGGACGACGTGTTGACAAGCGCGAGCAAGCGTCAGAAGTAGAGGATTAAAACTGGATTAAAGGTAACAGAAGAAAGGACGGGCGAGAGAGAGACGAGAGAGATGAGAGGAGAGAGGAGAGAGAGAGAGGAGAGAGAGTGAGGTGAGAGTGAGAAAGAGAGAGAGAGAGAGAGGAGAGAGAGAGTAGAGAAGAGAGAGAGAGAGAAATCGAGAGAGCAGAGGAGACGAGACTCCTCCGAAGACGAGAGAGAAGAGAGATTTTTGAAAGAAGAGAGAGAGAGGGAAAGAGAGAGAAATGAGGTAGAAATGGAATTGAAGCGAGAAAGAAAATAAGTGGAGGGTGGAAGGAGAGTGATAGTGAGAGGGGATAGATAAAAGAGAAGGAAAGAGAGAGGGGAACAGGACTGGAAGAGAAAAAGAGTGCGAAATGAAGGAAAAGTGAAATGGAATATAGAAATGGAAAAAGGAGAGAGAGAAAAGTGAATGGAAGATGGGGAGGAGAGGAAAGTGGAGGATAGATAGAAGGAAATGGGATAGAAAAGCGAAAGAGTATTGAAGGAGATAGAGAAAGAAAGAGAAAAAAAAAGGGAAAGAAGAAAAAGGAAAATTGGTGGAGGATGGAGGAGAAGAAGGAGTGCGTGAGAGGAATCGAGAGAGGAAAAATTAAATTAATAGAATGAAAGAAAGATGGGCAATAAATGGAAGGAGAGAGGATGATAAATGGAATGGATGAGAGAAGGAGAATGAATTGAAGATGGAGGGAGAGAAGGGATGGATAGAGAGGGGAAAGAGGTGATAAAAGGAGTAGAGAGAGGAAGAGAGAGAGAGAGGAGAGAGAGAGAGAGAGGAGATGAGACGAGAGAGAGAGAGAGAGAGAGAGAACGAGAGAGAAGAGAGAGAGAGAGAGAGAGTGAGAGAGAGAGATAGAAGGAAGGAAAGAGAGAAAGAGAGAAAGAGAGAGAAAGGAGGTAGAATGGAATT